CCAGGCCATGGGGGGCCTTCCGCGCTTACAGGGGGAGGCGGAGCGGGGGGAGGCGCAGGGATAAGCAGAGGGGGATGGCGCATGGCGCCTTTCATGCGGGATAGCCTTGCCACGGTGAGATGGGGAGGGTGGGGTGGAGGGAGGGGAGGGGGGAGAGAAAGTGGGGGGAGAAGGGAGGAAGGGGGAAGGAGGGGGAGGGTCAAGGGGGAGGGAGAAGAGGGGGTCACAGTCACGGCCTTGGTGCATGGCGCATGGCACATGGCCTATGGCGCATGGCACATGGCTTATGGCGCATGGCACATGGCTTATGGCGCATGGCACATGGCGTATGGCGCATGGCTTATGGCGCATGGCGTATGTATGGCACATGGCTTATGGCGCATGGCACATGCTGACTCTAAAGTTAGTACAACCTCCGTCTGAAGTCGTGCCTGCTTTCTCCCCACCCCCCACCCCTCGTCCATCTTGCCTCTTGCCTGCCTGTCTACCTCAGCCCCCCCATCTGCTCGGCACAGCCATGGGAGGAACCATCGCATCCACATCACACTATACATACATACATACATACATACATACATACATACATACATACATACATACATACATACATACATACATACATACATACATACATACATACATACATACATACATACATACATGCACGCATGCATGCTTGCTTGCTTGCTTGCGTGCTGCCTACTAGATGTACTTCACACCCATCCGCCACTCTCCTCTGCACTGCACCCCCATCAGCTAGGCACGGCCATGGGAGGAACCATTGCGTCCGTCTACGCTTTCAACGCAGGTGATTCCTCCTGTACCTGAAAGGGCTAATGTCCCTCTGTCCTGTCCTGGTGGTGGTGGAAATTCCTTCCTCATCCCCATGTCTCCCTGGTTGCGAGCTTTTAGGAGCTGTCACGCAGTGCTGTCATGCCCGGGGAACCGTGCACTTTGAGTCGTCGTCTCACTTGGTGACTTTTGAGTCAACTCAAAAGACACCGCTTTTAGGAGCTGTCAAGCAGTGCTGTCACGCCCGGGGAACAAAATGCACTTTGAGTCGTCTCACCCTCCCAACCCGTCCTCTTCCCTCCCGTCTGGCTCCCCCTTGTTATCAAGCAGTGATGCCTTGTCCTCAGCTGGGCAAGCGCATCCAAGGTGACTTTTGAGTCGACTCAACAGTCACCTCGTCCTCGGCCGGGCAAGCGCATTAATGCCACAGCTATGGCTAGGTTGGATTCAGCCCATCCCATGCTGAGTTGACGCGACTTCCCTCCTTACCCACCCCCTTCCCCCCCAAGCCCCACCTTGCAACAAGCGGTGATGCCTCGTCCTCAGCCGGGCAAGCACATCCTTGCCACAGCCATGGCTGGGACAAATTGGTTTCCGAGAATTCCAAAGCACCGACTTGCCATGCCACTGCCACAGCCACAGCCATAGCCACAGCCACAGCCATGGCTGAGAGCTCGGCTCAAGCTGAGTTGACTTGACTCCCTCCCCCCTCTTACCCACATCATGTCCCCCCTCTCGCCCAGCTTCCTCTTTGTGATCACGTAGTGATGCCTCGTCCCCTGCCGGGCAAGCACATCCTTGCCACACCCATGGCTGAGACAAATTGGCTTCCAAAAATTCCAAAACACCAACTTGCCATGCCACAGCCATGGCTGAGATTCAAGTTTCAACCCAGCCCAGGTTGGGTAGCGGGACACGACTTACTCTACTCCCCTTATCCACCCCCCCACTCCCCCTGACTCCGTCCGCCCTTCCCCCTGGCTCCGCTCTTCCCCCCTGGCTCCCCCCTTTGTGATCAAGCAGTGATGCCGCGGCTGGGCAAGCGCATTCCCGGATCCAGGGGACTGCAATACCTATTGGGGGTGAGAGGGAAGGGGTGATGAGAGTGGTGCGAGAGTGGAGGGGTGAGAGTGGTGTGAGAGTGGAGGGGTGAGAGTGGTGTGAGAGTGGAGGGGTGAGAGTGGTGTGAGAGTGGAGGGGTGAGAGTGGTGCGAGAGTGGAGGGGTGAGAGTGGTGCAAGAGTGGAGGGGTGAGAGTTGTGTGAGAGTGGAGGGGTGAGAGTTGTGTTGGGTGGCCTGAGAGTTGAGGGGTGAGAGTGGAGGGGTGAGTGTGGAGGGGTGAGTGGGAAATCTGACTGGCCTGTCTGTCCATCTTTCCAAAAATCTTCTCTCTCCCCCTATGTCGTACTGCTCCTTTCTCGTCTCTACTCCTCCCTTATTCTCTCCGTTTCGCTTCTCTTTTCCTCCATTCTCTTTCTCTTCTCCATTCTCCGTCGGCGCAGATGAGGGAGAACTCTCACCTTCTTTCTCTTGCCTTCCCATCCTCTTTCCCCTTCTCCACCAGCCGGCACCCTCCCTGCACTCATCCAGCTTTGCATGTCAGCATACTATGTCACATCCGCATCAACACATGGTGCTGTCAGTGCAGCAGAGCAAAGGGTCATGTCTAGTGCTAGTGGTGCTGCTGCCGCTGGTGGTGCTAGTGTTGGCGCTGCTTCAAAAAGAGAAGAGGTGAATCCTGCTTGTTTCACGGTTCACCATGTCGTACCATAATTTCATGTTATCTTGTCGTGCCCACATGCCACGCCGCCATGGCACCGTACCGTGCATTCATGCTCTCACAAGCAGCTTCCTTTGTACCCTTTCTCTCTGTTCCTGCCTCACATTCTCTCCCCAAACAGTCTGATACCGCTAAATGATCCTTTCACTTGACGCACTCTCCCCACTGTCACAAGCGGCCCTTGTCCCTTTGTGAGTGCTCTTATTTTTCTGGCTTTTGCACCGCCTCAAACGCCCTTCACTTCAATCACTCTCTCCTCTGTCACAAGTCGCCCCTGCCCCTTTTTGAGTGTACTCACCCCTTTTCTATATAGAATGCGATGTAAGCACAAATTTCCTATGGCACGGTGGAGCTACCACCAGTTTTCCTCCCATCCAATAAAGCATCCGCCTCCTCCCCTCATCCTCCGCCTCCAACCCCTCTCCCTTGGCTGCGAGATTTGGTAGTGGTGCTCCTCTTACTCTGCGAGCCTTGCCAATCCTCTGGCTCAAGTGCGAGCCATACCATGACTTGAGAGTCATGGAAGCTCGCACTTGCTCAAAGTTGAGTCGGTGCTGCTTCTACAACATAAGGTTGCAGCCATGGAGAACACCCGCTCACTAGCACTGTCGTGGATGGGATAACACGATTGTCCTTCACCATCTGCCACAATGGCGTCATGTTATGAGCATGGCACCAGTACCGCGGCGCGGCATTGTACATGTCCAACCACATCCGCTCTTCCATGTATCTAACGACCTCATCATCCTGAACCATCTCACCCTCTCCCGCTGCCTGACCCGCTGACACGCGAGCAAAAAGTCGCCCGCGGCTAGGATGAAACTGATCGTCGTCGTCGTCCTCCTCCTCCTCCTCCTCCTCCTCCTCCTCCTCCTCCTCCTCCTCCTCCTCCTCCTCCTCCTCCTCCTCCTCCTCCTCCTCCTCCCCCCTTGTCCCCGGCTCCACCATTGGTGCTGATGGCATCAGCTGGGGAGCCAGCCGTGCAGCTGTGGCTTGGTACTTTTCAGAGCGCTCAAGGACCAGCCAAATCACCTCCACGGCTTCACCTTCTCTACCTCCCTGGGATGCAACCTCTCCCAGTGGTCCGTGTTGGAATACGCTGCGTCCGTGGACGGATCCAAGTAGGTGGCAATCCTTTACTCGCTGATATTGGCGCAGTAGTATTTCCTGAGGTGGTCGAGTGTTTTGATGATCATGGGACGGAGCGTCTCCGATGGTCCCTTGTGGAGGCGTGCCTCCAAGCTGTCGATGAGGCTGTTATGGAACGGCGCCACCATCGACAACGTGGGGTACGCTGAACTCTCAGTGGCCTTGGAGACCTTGGTGAAGGGGCTAAGATACTTGTTCAATGCCTCCAAGATGTCCCCATGGGCGGGCTCAAATTGCGCGAAGGCGAACTTCTCCTTTTTTGCCCACCTCAACTTCGGGTGGTAGGGTTGGGAGAATGGGAAGTGCTGAACAGATTTCATTCGATACAAGGCTTTGCATTGTGATGCGAGGTTGCTAACTTGTTCGGCAGCAAAGTGGTATAAGGTCCGGTTTGTCCAAAACTTCGACTACTTGCTCATGCCTATGGCCAACATCCATCTTGGGGAAAACATCCAGGCAAGCAACGTATACATGCGTGGAGTGGTATTTAAGCACCACATACATGCATCCTAGACAAGTCTGTATATTAGTCGACGTAAGACATCACATTCACCAGCGTCCTTATCAAGCAAACATGCTGGCGCGCAAGCGCTTTGCAAGCACACACAATGAAAGGTGTGTTGAGTGCAATGGGAAGTCAATTTTGTAGTGACTATACCTTGATTGAATTAATGAAAACTTCTGAAATGTGAAGACCAGTTTTAAAGAAGCTAGCAGAAATTGTTTAGAGCAAGAGCTGAAGGGAGTAGTTGGTTCCTTGCACCAATTGGGTTTCTCTTGTAAGCACAGTCGTCTCCTCTGTGTGCTTTAAGTGCGTGTTCTTTTTATGTATCAGCACAACCACATCCGACAAGCCTCTTTACCTGTTCGCCTTCTCTGGTGATCATTCTAGCAACTCCAGTGTACCTTGTTACATGCTCGTGAAGTGAACAGTGTCATTGCTAAGTTCAGTACATTACATACAACTAAGCAAATCTTAATGGACGATTTAAAGCCTGAGTCCTCAATTGCGAGGCGCGTGGGTCCTAAGTTGCAATATACGCTTATAGCGTATATACGCTTATCGTATATATGCTAGCGTATGCACGCTATCCGCTTGGGGGTCGACTTTGGAATACGCTTTTCCGGGCAGGGAAAAAAAAACCACTTGGGGATGTTCGGGGGGGGGGGGATGGGTGAGGCATTTTGGGGGTTTTGCAACACAGTTTTTTTTTCCCCATAATAAGATTACGACACCATACACACACACATGTCACTAATACTCTCCTGCCACCCTAGTTCTAAGCGTACTCGTCCTCCAGGACGTCATCCTTGCCTTCCTCCTCCTCCACTTCCATCTCATCCAACCCGTTGTACCCCTCGGGAATAGGAGGCTCGTCCCCAATCCCTGGCACAGCCTTCGGCATTACATCTGCGCGCGAGTGCCTGTTGCGCACAACATTCCAATAGAGCCCCAAATAGGAGCCATGTCTTTACATGGCTGCGACTGATTCAACTTGTAAAAAAGTTTGTTAGTTAAAATGCTTGCTTGAAAATCTCTTGTAGAGAAATTTGGCAGTAACCGGTTTCGGCTTATAACCTTCTTCAGACCACAAGGGAAAAAAGGAGCAAACTAGAGCTAATATACTAATCCCGAGGGCTCCACGCGAGGCATTCCTTCGCTGGGCCAGGAAGAAGTTGTACTGTAGGGCTGTAACAAACACTACACTACACTAACTCTTATGAGCAGAAATCAAATAATTTCCAACTCTTCTAGGTAACTTCCAAGCGACGATTGCTGTCCGTGTAGAAAACACACCGTGTGACATTGTAGCGAGTTGACTTTTGAGTCGACTCAAAATGCACCCCAGGCGAGAACGGTCAACCAGCGGGTTGAGCAGCAGTTTCAGCACCAGGGGGCCACGGTTAGGAGAGTTCTGTAAAGAAGAGGCGCGTTGGAGAAGTTCCCCACGGTTGAAGAACAAAACTGACTTAAAAATCGGAAGAAGAAATTTCTCCGGATAGCCGCGAGCTCAGAGGCGAGCAAAGAAAAGGGCGCGGGAATTGAGAAAGTCAGGACGGGAGGAAGAGCGCAGTAAAAACCGTTGCAGCTCACTCCGAATAAAACCCAGCTTAGTAGCACGGGTGTGGTAAGACTTAAACGGCAGGTACAGGTAGCGGTTCATCGGCTTCTGGAACAGCTTCATGTCCAGCGTGCCGGAAGACTGAAATCTCTGTCCTTTAAACACTGTTAAGTCAAGGAAATCCATTGACTGTTCTGAAATAACCCAGGTGAAACAGATGGAAGAATGAAGGGTGTCAAACCGACACCGAAAAATCTCAAACTCCTCCCGCGTCCCTTCCCACATAATCAGACCGTCGTCAATGAAACGGAGATGTAGAGCGGGAAGAACGCGCAGCGAGGCGTGTAATTGAATGTCCAGATAGCTGAGGAAAAGTACTGCGAAGCAAACAGCTACGGAAGTCCCCATGGCTGTACCCCGGACTTGTCGGAAAAAACGGCCGTTGAAAGACACAAAACTGTTGAACATCACCCATCTCAGCAGACGAATGATGACTGGTGCAAGCGGATGTCGTTCTTTCCGTAGAAAATAATCAACAGCGTCGATCCCGTCCCATTAAGGTATTGACGGATAAAGTGATTCAACATCGTAGAACGCGAGCAGCAGATTTGAAGAGAAATTCCGTTTTTCAAGCTCCAGAATAAGACTTTTAGAGTCCTTAACATAGGTAAACTGCTTCAGCACCAGAGGCCGAAGGACGGAGTCGAGCCATTTAGAGGCATTAGTAGTAATCCAGGAATGACAGGCTGCAATTGGTCGGCCAGCTGGGACCTTCTTGTGAATCTTAAGTAGGACGTAAAAAGCCGGGACCTTCCAGCCAGAAATAGGTTGATGGAAAAAGGAGTCCCAAATCCGAGCTTTAATCAAAGGATTCCACTCAGCACGGATTGAATGAAGCTCGCCAAGTATTCCTTGTAAACTTTAGTGTCAAGGAGGTGTGTCAGACACTTGTCCTGATAGAAACCCCTGCTCATGACTGTTAGTCCAAGGTTCTTGTCAGCCGGTTTAAAAATGAGATTCGGATCCTTAGCAAGGCGTCGAAGTGTTGGGATGATGTTCTTCGATTTGCAGGTGAGTGTTGAAAAGGTTTGCCCATTGATTTCTTTAACGGCTGTTTCTCTGAAAACTTCCAACGCCGTCTCGATTTCTCGAGATGCTGGTGGAGGAGTCCAGTTGGCACGTTTAGGCAGTTTGTACCCTGAGTAACCAAGAGAATCAGATCCATTAAAAAGAAACATGGTACGCACACTCCTGACGAAAGACGACAGTTCCGCTTCGAAGCTAGCAACACTACGGATGACAGGGACAGGTATGTATTTGAGACCAAGGCTTAGCAGGTTCAGTTCTTTCAGTGAAAACGTATGATCACTGTAGTTGTGAAGACCGCGGTTCGTGACACGGCATTGCAGCTGATACTCCGTCTGTCTGCCGAAGAGGATCACTGCATAGGCATGTACGTCACCAACTAACGTGTCTGTGTTTTTCCGCGGCCTCCACCTCCCCCGTTTTTTTATGCAGTTGCTTTCCCAGTATGGGCGGAGGCGTTGCGTCCAGAGGTCTTAGCAAAGGAGCGACCGACAGTCTTAAACGCGGCTTGCTCATCATCAGCGACAGTCCTCTTAGGGTGAGTGATCTTCTTCTTAGTAGTAGCAGCAGCAGTCTGCTTCGGTTTGTTGGTGTTATTGGAGCCGGAGCTGCGAGTATCTTTCCCAGCCTTGGGTGAAGTAGATTTCTTATGACCAGCACTCCTGACATTGACACCGGGCTTGTTAGTCTTATACTTAAAAGGAACAGAGGCCTTAACCTTCTTGTTTTTACCGTTGTTGCCGTTGCCATTCACCCTCTTAACCGGAGTCTTACAGGAGGAGGACTGCTTCAGGATTTTCTCCGCTTCTTGACGAGCGATTTTCCGAACAGTAGGGTCAACAGGTAAGCTCTCTGCTTCTGCAACTGCAGCTGCTTTCTTAGCATTAATGTCGTCGTTTTTCTGCTTCAGAAGAATTTCAGCCATGTTAGTCTCGATATAGACAACAGAAACTGCACGCTTAAATTCCAGCAACACCCTGTTATTGAAAAAATCCAGGCTCTCGATCAGCTTCGGATTGATCTGGCCGAGGTCGGACTTCTTGTTAAGATCAAAGAAATTGTCAATGTGGTGTTGCAGAGACAGATTGACGGCACAAGCATCGCTGAGAGCCTTATTCGTGGCTTTCTTCTTCATGGCAATCATGATGTCCTGAGCATTATGGCAATAAGCCAGACGAGCCGCTTCCAGGTTCTTATCTGCTTCCTGACGAAGATCTTCAGTATTGCAGACGAAGTTAAATGGCTTGATCTGGATAGAGTGGGGAATGATCCCGTTCCGTTTCTGCTCTTCCATGAAGTTATATTGCTGACGCAGAGTCCGGTATTTGGAAAAATGCTTCTTGAAATTAGCAATCGCTTGTTGCTTAAGCGTATTCAAATGAGTCGGAGTAGCTTGCTTCTCCAGAAAAGAGGTGTTAGATTCTCCGAAGAAATCAAGAGCGTCAGTCATAACAGTGTCGCTGACGTCCTGAACGTCTTGAACATTATGCACCGCTTCCTGTCCAGGGACCGTAGCCTTGACAATGGGAGTAGCCATGGCGATAGGTGTAATTCCTGGAGCGTTAGTAGTCCCTGCTAGAGTAGCTGGTGGAGTGTTGAGAGCTCTCCTTTTGCTGGGTCTGGAAGCCGAAGGAGTTTCGAATGAGAAATCCTCCGAGCTGACCGGCTCTTTATTCTTGGGAGTACCCGTTTTGAAGTTCGCAGTTCTTCGCGATGTTCTCAGGGGTCTCACAATTTCAGGAGCTTGGTCAGCGTTGGTGTTGGTTTGTTTTGTTGCGTTGAATTTGTAGTCGGCCATCGTAGATGTATCTTTCGTAAGTCCAATGGAGCCCCAGATAGGAGCCATGTCTTTACGTGGCTGTGACTGATTCAACTTGTAAAAAAGGATGTTAGTTAAAATGCTTGCTTGAAAATCTCTTGTAGAAAAATTTGGCGGTAACCGGTTTCGGCTTATAGCCTTCTTCAGACCACAAGGGAAAAAAGGAGCAAACTAGAGCTAATATACTAATCCCGAGGGCTCCACGCGAGGCATTCCTTCGCTGAGCCAGGGAGAAGCTGTACTATAGGGCTGTAACAAACACTACACCACACTAACTCTTATGAGCAGAAATCAAATAATTTCCAACTCTTTTATGTAACTTCCAAGCGACGATTGCTCTCCGTGTAGAAAACACACCGTGTGACATTGTAGCGAGTTGACTTTTGAGTCGACTCAAAAGTCGAGTGCCAGTTGCGCACAACATTCCAGTTGTGCGCAACAAAAACCAGGTCCTGGCACTTTGCAGATCCGAGGCGGTTCCGGCGGGCTATGTGGACAGCATCCCAAGTTCCCCACCACGCTCACAAGGGGATGCCGATACAGGCTGAGATAGCACCCTCACGGCGAAGCGCATCAGGTGAGGTGCATCTGTGTCGTTCCACTGCCACCACTTCACCATGCTGTACTTACCCGCCTTCACCTTCTCCCTCCGTGCAAGCGCCTCCGGCATCCCAAAACTGCCTTTCATGTCCAAGAAAGCCCTCAGCCCGTCACCCAAGGCAAGCAAGTAATCTGGACCCTCATCCCTCCCCTTCCCGTCGTGGCCGATGAGGAACTCCACGTGCTGGTTGATTAACGCCTTGAAAACCCAGGTGCATTCGGCATCGCTGCCAAAGATATCCTCCTCTTGGTTGGCGGGGTTGAGGATTCGGCCAGCAACGTGCATGGCGCAGGCGAGGTTGTTATCCTAGCGGTCCTTGATGATGCTGCGGATCTTTTCCTTGTCCGCGCTACTCAGCTGCTGCTCATCCTCGTCCAGGATGTTGTTGACATCCTCGGTAAGCTGCAGCATTACATCGTAGAGCCGGCCCATCATCCCATTGGCATCTGCGTCAGTCTGCCGCATCGCCTTGTAGGGCAGTTGCATCAGCTTGCAGAAGAATTCTGCCGTCCGCCACCATGCGTCATCGAGGACCCGTGCAGCAAAGGCCTCGGCAGTTTCCTTCCGCGACCCCGAGGCCCACTCCTTCCACCTGTCGGAAAGCACCATCACGTTGAGGGTGCTACGCAACTGACAAAGGCGGGACACAGCAATGTATTGTGTCCCGAACCGTGTTCCCGCTGGCTTCAGCGGCTGCAGCACCTTCCCCTCCACCAACTCCTTGGTCCTCAGGTAAGCGCGCGTCCAATGATGGTTGCGAACGAACGAACTCATCTCCCCAGTCCGATCCACCACCCCTTTTGCCCACCCCATCTTTCCCACGTCCTCCGGGAGGAGATCCATCACATGCGTGGCACAAGGGACCTGCTGAATGTGGGGCCACTTGGCAATCAGCTCCTGGACAGCCACGGCATAGTTCGACCCCCCATCCATACAAAACGCGACGACATTTTCTGGTCCTACCTCCTCCACCACCGGCTGCAGAATCCCCGCTATGTATCCCCTCGTCTTCTGCTCCATACTGCAGTCGATCGCCTCCCTGAAAACGGTGCCGGAGTCGTTGATCAGAAGCACGTTCGCTTGCGCCCTCCCACATTTGTCCGTCATCATGTCGGACGCAATTGTTACCCCCGTCTTCTTCCAGCTCGATTTAATCCCCATCAGCCCCTGCTCAATCCCTTTGCAGACAGCGACCAGTCCAGCCCCGCCAATGAAAGTCCTCCTGGGGGGGACGTAGCCGTTGCCGGCGCGGTTGACGAGCAATATGGCGTTGATGAACAACGGGTGGTCCATGGTGACCTCTGGGATTCTGCAGGCCGCAAACATCAGCGCAAGGCCCTCGTGAGCATCCCGCTAAGCCGCACAGGCATCTCCCTCCAAGTAGTCGGTTATGCGCCGCTTCCCTCCGCCAGCCTGTACTGCCGCAACTGCAGCAGATGTTGCTCGGCGCTTTTCCTCGATCGCGGCAGCCATCTTTTCGTATTTGGTGCGCATCTCGTTGCGTACGTCTTGCGGTGCCTCCTTGCAAAGCGTCACCTCGCGACGCTTCATTCCCTTCCACGAGATCAGGTGCTGCGCGCAACGAATGGCTGCACCGGTGAAAAATTTCAAGCAGTACTTACACTCATACTGCTGTGCTTTGCCTTCTTCCCGCACAATGAGGCTGAAATGTTTGAAGACAGCGTGTTCCGGCATGTCATGAAGGTAATCCCTACCCTCAGGTCGAACAATCCGAGAACTCTGCATTGTCTGAACGGATGGCGGTGTGCATGGCGGGCTAGACATTACGAAAGAGACGGGGAACTGATGAATTGCGTAGTTGCTTGCAACCCACTAAGTAGCACAACGAGAGAAGGGAACATTGGGACATTTGGTTGGAATGAGTAGATGGGAGGGGATTCAATGCGATAACAAACAGAGCGCACAAAGTGTGTACGTGAAAACACGACTTGACAAATTGACACAACCAATCTCGACTACGTGGGTTGAACCAACGTCCACGATTGGACAAGTCACGTATGTGCAATTCGCGTTCTGCAAAAAGCCACGTCCACAATTGGACAAGTCACATTCGTGCAATTCGCCTTCGGCAAAACGCACGTCGTGAAATTCCGCATTTTTCCGTATGTTCGATTTTTTTCCGCCCGGGCTGCCCCAAAACAAATTTGCCGAGCGTATAGCGGATTCGCTTGCGTATAGCGTGTTGCGTGTATAGGCAAGCGGATATCCGCTAAACGCAAACAGGCCTGAGCGTTTATTGCAACTTAGCGTGGGTCAAGCTATTAAAACTTGACGGTGAGGAGCTTGTAAACTTGAAAAACGTTCACTTGCAATTTGGGACTTTCGAGCTTCTACCAGTGGGAAGACGAGTTTTTGGCTGTGTGTTGCAAAGGGAACGAATTTGACGAAATAGGACCTCTCGCCACACCCCAAAAAGAAAACTTCCTCCCCGTCAACCATTTAAAACTTGTGCAATTTGGGCCAACGGCTTTAACACAATAATAGATACAAGGCATTGTCCCGTTTATTCTCTAGCATGATTGGCCCTGTTTCAACTATTACATCATCCGACAGGCCAAGATCGGTGACTTTGGGCTGTTGAGGGTGGGCGAGGGCACCACAGTGGGCACGACTCGGGTTATGGGAACACCGGGCTATGTGGATCCCATCTACTCACGCACGTCCAAGGCCACCACTGCCACCGATGTGTACATGTGAGGTACTTTTGTCATTAGGTGAAATAGGACTAGGAGCAGGTGAACATTTTCTCAACTGTTAGACATCGCTCTCTTGATGAGGCAGCTATTATGTGCCTAAAAAAATAGACGTAGGTCAATGCGTGACATTTTGCTGATGCTTGCGCTCGTTGTGCTCATTAAGTGCTTGCTTGCTTTGCTCATGCTCGTGGTTGCTGAAGCACTCACAACGCAGCAAATCCTTGTGCACTGCTTGCTACCCTCCTCCCTTCTTTGTGTGTGCAGCTTCGGTGTGCTCATGCTTGTGGTGATCACCGGTCGCAGCCCCCGTTCTTCCGAGGGTGAAAAGAACGGCCACATTCTGCGATGGGTAGGTGCTGCTGCTTCGTGTGCGGTGTGGTGGGGTATGTTGCATTGCTTAGATGTGAGATGTCACTGTGGCAGGTGCAGTCGGTTCACAAGCAGCAGCACTCTGCCTAAGTGGGTGGCACGAACACTCACGGTCTCCGCATTGCTGCTTTATGTGCAGCACACATAGTGACTTCCAAGTTGGCTCTGTCGTTAGCTCGCACAACCACGACCTGCACTAGGGAGGTGTTTCTGCTTCGTGGCAAGTATGCAATAGCAGGGTTGTAGTGTAAAATACTCAATCAGTCTCCGCAAAGCACAGCACTTGCTGCTTTCAGCCAGGCAAGTTGGTGGCACGATGAAGATCATAGCAGGATGGCATCATCGCATGATTGCATGTTGGCACTTCTTGTCAGAATCCCAACCACTAGACCATTGGGATAAAAGGGCTTGTTTCAGTAGCGGGTGAGTGCGCCCATAACCCCCCAGGCGAACGCGCCTGTAACCCTCTCCAGGATCAATCGGGCATCCACAGTGCAGATCTACTGACACTTCTGTGCCTGACTGTCCCCATCCGCACCCACATTGTTCAATCTGTCTGGTGTAGGTATGCCTCAGCTACCCTCCTGTCGTCCCACAAACTCTTCTTGCCAACTATGCACCTCAGGTGTACGCATGCATTAGGTGTGCCCTCGTGTTGCTCAACTCAACTAAACATCCTCCAACGACCCAGTCTGCCTCTTGTTTCTCAACTCAATCTGACTGGACCTCAGCATGGACAAGTTTGATGATGCTGTGCTGCGCCATTCCATGTACCTGCCCCAATCCCCACCCCCCTTGTTCAACCCGTCAGGTGGAGGATTGCGTTTCGTCCAACAACCCCACCCTCCTCAAGGACCAGGACATGGACGCCCCGGATGATGCTGTGCTGCGCCTGGCCCAGCTGGCTCTGCGCTGCACTGTGCAGTGCACTGCAAGCCGGCCCAGCATGGCCACCATTGCCAACGAGCTGCAGGGAATCAGGCACGAGGTGGTGGGGAAGGAGGTGCTGAGTGCAGCAGTAAAGGTGGATGAGCAAGCAGAGGGGGTGCAAAGTGGAACGTCGTATCCGAATAACTTGGCTGCAATGTTGGAAGCTATTAAGAGCATGGAGGAAGAGTCTACTGGGGAGGACAGGCAGACGCAGCAGACGCAGACTCAGCAGACTCAGCAGACTCAGCAGCAAGACTGGCAGCGTAGTCCAGACGACACGCAGCAGCAAAGTCGACCAGCTCAGCAACTAGGGCAGACGCAGCAGTGGACTCAAAGGAAGGGTCAGTGACAAGAGAAGCAAGAAGACGCGTGACAGTAGGACTGGCAGCACGGTGAGAGTCCGACTCCGGGTCGGCAAGTGTAGGAAGAGAAGACTGAGGAGGAGAAGGCAAAGGGGCACGCAGAGGAGCAGTGGACGGACGCAGAGACATCTGGTGCGTGCCAGGGACAGGAGGAGGACGCTGACGCGAACCGCGACCACTAGGGCGAGCAGCTCGGACTGGCGACGCAGGGCGGGACGCAGGCTCACGTCGCTCAGCAAGACCTCCAGTAGGACCAGCGTAGGGAGAAGGAGAAGGCAGGGGAGAGGCAGGCTGTAACTGTGACTGTGACGGGACAGGCTGCGGACACTCTACGGGAGGAGAAGGACCTGTGGAAGGCGGGAGACCAAGAACCTGCTAAAGGAGCGGAACAAAGTACGGTCGAGGCCGCGCAGCACCGCCAGAGACAGCAAGGACAGCACCAACACCTCCAGAGGCAGCACCAGCACCAGTAGCAGCTCCAACTCCAGCACCACCAGCAGCTGCAGAAGTACCCGCAGTAGGACCGACAGTCGTAGCCTCAGCGCCAGCACCCGCAGCAGCTCCAGCTCCAGAGGCACCCCTGGGCCCGGCAGCTCCAGTACCCTCAGTTCGAGCACCTCCGGGACACGTGGTACCAGCTCCCTCGGCAGCAACGGAACCTCCAGCACCCGCAGTACCCCCAGCTCCAGCAGCTCGCCTCCAGCGCCGGGCAAACCACTCACGCAGCTCCAAAGGAGAGAGCGGCTCGCGGCGTGAAGAACGGTCTGGAGAACCACCAGGAACAGAAGCAGCAGGCGCAACACTCCCAGACGCAGTACCCCCCGGCTCAGCACCCCCAGGCACAGCACCCCCAGGCTCAGCACCCCCAGGCTCAGTACCCCCAGGCTCAGCACCCCCAGGCTCAGCACCCCCAGTCTCAGCACCCCCAGGCTCAGCGCCCCCAGTCTCAGCACCCCCAGGCTCAGCACCCCCAGTCTCAGCACCCCCAGCCTCAGCACCCCGAGGCTCCGCACCCGCAGCAGCACCACAGTCACCAGTGACCTCGACAGGCTCGACCGCGTCTACCTGAGACACACTTGAAGGGGCAGGACCCTGAGGGGGGAGGGGGTCTACCGGGGGGGGACCTGGGACCAGGAAGAGGGGCGGGGGGGGGAGGGACGGAGTGCGGTAGGGGAAGAGCCGGTAGAAGGGAACCGACTCGTCGAACGTGACGTCCTGGAAGGACAGAACACGACGAGAGGTGGGGTGGTAAAACTGCCACCCAAGTGCGTCAGGGGGGAAACCCAGGAAGACGCAAGGAGCAGCACGAGGGGACAGCTTGTCCGCAGACAAGTCGCGGACAAACGCCCGAGATCCCCAGACACGGAACGCCGACGCATCGCCAACCTTCCCCGTCCACAGCAAAGCTGGGGAGGTCTCCGGTCTGGAGACCCTTGGCTGAAGGTTGATCTGATGCGCGGCGTACCGAACCGCAAACGACCACAGAAAATGGGGGGCAGCCGCATGCACCATGGACGTACGGGCGACGTCCATGACAATGCCGATGCGGCGCTCAACAATCCCATTCTACTGTGGAGAGTCCGGAAGCGTGAAGGTCTGGCGGATGCCTCGTGCGCGACAGTAGGCTCGCAGAAGGCCAGAGGAGAACTCAGGGAGGGCCAAGCCCCGGAGGAAGGGGAGGGAGGGACCGGGGAAGGCCAGAGACAAGTAGGCGAGAGGCCATGCCCCGGAGACGAGGCAGGGAGTGGTGACCCATCCTGTGGTGCCAGAGGAGGGTCTCGTGGGACAGGAGGCGACACGAGCAGGGGGCAGACTCAGGACCAGACCTGGACGCTGCAGCAAACACCTGACCTGACGCAGCTACCTGACCAGACGCAGGAGGAGGAGACGGAGCAGTGAGTGTGTACAGGCTCGACCCCGGCCCACGTGTGAACGTGGTCAAGTGTCG